ATCAGTATCAAAACCTGTGAAAACAAAATTAAATTCTGAATTAAAGAGTAGAAATTAACAGAAAAAAGTATTCCTCTGTTTCGAATGATGCTTCAACGCAGAATGATTGATTTTGTTATGTTTTTTTTCTCAATTCCACAAGTTTGACATACCCAATGATTCAAATACACTTTTTAATGTTGTTCGTCTCACTTTTCCGATGCTAAAACTGAAATAGTTTTCTTGAACACTTTAGCAGTTAAAGTATAGAAAGTGTGGGTATATTTGATTGCGCTTTTAAATGAATACGGTGGCCCGGGTGCGACAAATTGTCAGAGTAAAATGCACTGTAACGTGCAAAACACAACTGCCTACAATGCTGATTTGTTCAGCTGTTTATAATGCTGTTTTTGGGTACAGAATGTGCAGATATATTGCAAAGTGAATTCAAAGTATTCATTAACGTTTATCTCGTCGGTTATCAGAAAATCAATCCCAGACTACTGCACATTTAATCTCTGAAGGTATGATAAAAAAGGTTTAAACTTTGAAGATTTTCAGAAGAACAACAATGATCGGCTTAATAAATGACTTCCCAAAAATAAATGAACTTCTCTATTAGACTTTTTACATGTGTACATCACACATATACATGTGGTGAGATTCACATACGTCAGAAATAAGCTGTAATAAAATTTAGTAAAAGTATTCAAGTACAGGCTTTGCTGCGGCATATATTCATCACGCTGAATACATTCATGCGAAGAATACGAAGCGCTAGCTTTGCGGAAAATGAAGTCTGTTCGTCTATTCCTACGCGCTTGGCGGACGCATCAATATGATGACGTTGCTTGACGCACTGTGACTCATTTATGCCGTAGCAAAGCCTGCTTTAGTACACCAGCCTCATCGCATATTACTCTCGAAACTCTTGATAATATTCAAAAGCTTTGAAAACAAGAAAATAAAAGATGTTTCATTATGATAAAAATCATCGATTGAAGAGAAGTGCAGAGGTGAAAAAGCGATGATTTCAAGATAGCTCCGAAAAATTAATGGTACACAATGCATAGAATAAAATGACAAAATATTTATTGTAAATATTTCACATGACTTTTAATGTCGCATTATTGCCAATTGAAAATGTACAATAACGATTCGAGCTCTACATTAAAAGCCGAGCTAACGAAATTTTCTGTAAACAGACAGATTTGATCAAGCTTATCGTTGTTTTTCTGCTGAAAATCTTTCATGTTTCAAACAGTTTTTTCATACCTTCAGAGATTAAATGCGAATTAACGAGACGTTTAGAACGTTAAGGAATAGCTTCTACTTTTAATTGGCATAGCAATAAATCTGCACATTTCGTACCTAAACAAACCAGCATTGGAGATAGTTGTGTTTCGCATGTTAAGTTGTATTTTACTCTAACAATCTGTCGAATCCGAGCCACGATGTCTATCATTATCTGTTGAAGTGTTCCAAGCTATTTGAGTTTTTAAAAAATGGAAACCTTTATGCAAAACCCGATTTCATTGGGCTTGCTACGGTTATTCCTTTCAAAAGATGTTTAATGGCACCTTTCTTCAAAGATTAAATGTCGAAAATCAATTCGTGTGCAGTGGTGATCTGTATACCTGTAGACTATAGACTATTTGCTTGCCAAATTGAGGTCGATAAGTGATTGCTTACGAAGAAACATATGAAAAAAGTATCCGCACATGAGTCCGGTTTCATTTTCATTTTTACGAGTTCCAAGTAAGAGTTATCCGCACATTTTCTTTTATCTCGTATCGAATTTTAAATCGCTGAACAAGTCACCATTGGAGAATGAAAACATTTGTGTTTTGGTTGTTGAGCCAAGCTGTACTCTTAAATTCCATCGATTCTGATTTATCGCATTCATTCGAGCTCCAAGAATAAATCCAAAACTCGGCGAATGTTTGACCAATATTGAGGAGCATTTTCTTCAAATGGTTTAAGTAGGGATAAATTATAACGACTCGGCCAATTGTGGAAATAATTCGTGGTTGAAATCAAAATATGTCGATGAATAATTGTAACAGAAATAGTTGAAGACATTTATGATCTCAATCCCAAAGATAAAATGTTGATATCGTAACAGATATTTGTGACATTTCCCCCATGAGAATAGTTGACGATTGACCTAAAGAAAACTTTTTCCGAAAATTTTTCCGTTATCAATTATAAGGATCGAAACTATGTGAATGACTGTTATTTTAGTATCGCAACTGGTGTGTTTTTGCTGTTAAAACGAATGAAACAAATAGGTGATGGAGACATTCAATGTCGTCGGTATCGGAGAAATATTCAAACTTCGTACTGTGACGGGAAATTGAACCAAAATCAAAAGACTTCTTCATTTCTTTATTATATTTTGTTATTTTCAATGCATTTGACTTGAAATATCTACAAATTGTCTTTGTTTTGCCGTCCGATTTTCCAATTCAACTGTGAACTACACGTTGAAAGCATTGAACGCATCCACTTTTACTTTTTTTGAATGTCAAATAAAAAAAAAACACCAGCTGTCAAACATATACACGATGCACATCAAGTCAACGCTACAACTCAAACGATTAAAAGTGTAAATATTTTTGGAAAAATTAAACCAAGTGAACATTTAAAGAAATGTTTTGCGTTGAAAATTTCGAGATATTTTTTGAATAGAACAAATTGAAACGTGCACAATGGAGGAACTTTCGAAATTAGAGCATTTGTCGTTGGTGTCAAAAATTTGTACCGAATTGGATAACCATTTGGGTATGAACGATAAGGATTTGGCAGAGTTTATCATCGATTTGGCTGAGACACACACCACATTCGATACATTTAAGAAAGCTCTCATCGAAAATGGAGCCGAATTTCCCGATTCATTCATCAAGAGTTTGCTGCGAATTATTCAATTGATGAAAACATCGAAGAAATTACCTGAGTCTAGTGAAAATGATTTCATATCGAAGCCTGATGCCGATCGATTGGCCATAAAATTCCCAGGTTTGGCCATGCCCAATGAAAAACAAGACGAAATTATTATGACAAAGGTTGAAAAGAATGAAAAAGACGAAAAGGATGAGAAAAAGTTCGAAAAAAAATTGAACAGTGTGGCCGATGATATGATGGCAGAGTTAGAATCATTCGCACCATCAAAAGGTGACAGTGAAATTGAACCGAAGAAAAGTGAGAAGAGAGAACGGTCCAGAGAACGTGAACGGAAATCACGTCGAGAGAGATCGAAGGAACGTGAAAAGGATAGAGACAGAGACAGAGACAAAGACAGATCGTCAAGAAGAAGCCGGTCCAGAGATAAGAGACCCCGTTCAAGGTACTTTGACTATTTGCTTAACTACTTTTACTTTCAGTACATCAGTTTTGTGAAAATCAATTTTTAATAGCAAAAGAAAGTTATCAACGATTCGTTGGAATCTTTCAACACTATTCAAACCAAATTCAATAAACAAAACCAACTTTTCCCCCCATTTTTAGATCAAGAGATCGAAGACGCAGCCCTTCTCAAAGCAAAGAAAGAAGAAGAAGCCGATCAAGAGACAGACGCAGACGCTCTAGATCGATGGAACGTCGGCGATCCACATCGCGTGAACGATACAGAGATCGTCAGCGGAATCGGAATCGAAGTCGAAGCACAAGTCGTGGTCGACGAAACCGGTCTCCACCTCGCAAACGAAGCGCAACACCATTGCCCGATGGCCCAGAGCCTGGAAAGATCTATTCTGGCCGCGTAGCAAACATTGTACCATTCGGTTGCTTCGTTCAATTAACGGGTGTCAAGAAACGTGTCGAAGGTTTAGTTCATATTTCACAGCTACGGTCTGAGGGTCGTGTAACCGATGTTACTGAGGTTGTATCGCGTGGATCGAATGTCAAGGTCAAAGTAATATCAATAGCTGGACAAAAAATGTCGTTAACCATGAAAGAGGTTGATCAACAGACGGGTGCCGATTTGAATCCAGCATCACATTCACACATGAATGACGAAATGCGCGATAGAAATCCAGACAGACCAGGTGCCGATTTGAATCCTGCTACGCATTTGCGCAATGGAAATACAGGCGTTGAAGACGATTTAATCATGTATAACACATTGACTGATAATGGTAGCAAACAGGTGGTGCGATCATCGGTAATCTCGTTGCTGCCGGGTGGAATGTCTCGTAGCACTCCTACAGCACCGGTATCACACACAAATGTGGCATTTATTCAAAAAGACGGTGAACCGTCACGATGCTCACTCTGTCCAGCTAGTTTTCCAAAGAGCCATCAATTGTTGTTGCACATGTACATCCATTACATGAACCCAGAACGAAAATTCCGATGCGAATTGTGTGGCAAAAATTTCAAAACAGAGCGCCGTCTACATAATCACAACCAATCCGAAACACACAGTTCGAAAGTGAATATTGCCGAAACGCATGGCAATCCAACGTCAAAAAATCCAGAACCGTTTGAGTGTTCGGATTGTAGTCTAGAATTTCGAGAAAAGGTCAGTTGGCCAGACATTTCCGCTCAAATACACATGCGCAAAAATTAGCGGAGAATCGAGAAACCAGCAACGAAAGAAGTGAAATCTAAACGATGGAAGCAACAACGATGCATAAATTGACAATCAGCATGGTGATGACAATTGACTAAGCGCCTTATGTTTAGCATATTAAAATACAGTAAACAAAACACACACAAGTAGGGCTTAATCGTTCCATAGACATTTTCGATTTTTTTTTTCTCGAATTATGACTGATCAAATGAAATGAATTTTACGAGATTTTCGAAACACAAAAAAAAACAATGTTTGTCATTCATTCAAGTAGGTTAGTAGTAGCTTTTATTTTGACATAAATTCGGGTCGAACAGTTCTATTATATCCACCTACAATATAAAATCAGTTTCAACAAAAGTTTTATTCGGTAAAAGACATGATTTTTTTTTATTTTGTACGTTTGCATTGTAAAAATTCGAAACACATTTAAAAAAGACTATTTGTGACATTTTTCATCGTCATTACTTCAAGTTTTACGTCTCAATTCGACGAATTTCTGGGCCGTATCATATTTGCTTTCCCATTCGTAGCATAGTCTTTCGCGGAAGTGACCATATTCATCCTTTAACACAAATTCAAATTTTTTCAGCATTCGAAATTTAGCCATAAGTTCGATTGCTTCACCAGTTGAAAGGCGTGCGTGTAATTTAATCGTATCCAGCAATGGCAAAGATCTAGCCAATCTAGACCAATCCACGTAACTTGGATGAATGTTACTGATCCTTACGATCGAGATATTCGAATTTTCGTCAATGAATTTGTAGAACTCTTCAATGAAAGAATTAAGAAATTGTTGTTCTGGAAACGTGATTTGAAATTGCTTGAGCTGTTCAAATGAAAAAGGTAGGAAACATTCAGGCAATTCATAAATTTGATGAAAATAAATTGCAAAATTCTTCACACTTTTCATATGTATAATATTGTCACTGTCTGTGAGAAATGTGATTGGTTTTATATCAAGCATAAGACCTTCAATATTCTGCAAACATTCAACTGAATTCCGAAGCAAATCTGTGTTCAAATGGCTGTAAAAAAAGTCACGTGATCTAAGCTGAAGATCTTTTAATTGTGGATTCAACCGTATGAAAGCTTGTAGCATTTCATTTTCGAGCATAGCTTCACTAGATGACTCATGAAAATAAAAGTTTTCTAAATAAGGAAAATGGTTTGTGTTGATACTAAAAAATGAGGAGTTTCTGGTGTGACAAGATGCTAGTGAATTCAACTTGGGGAATAATCTATTGAGGGGAACTTTCTCAGTGAAATCATAGTCAATGTGTTCAAAATTATAAACGTTGGGGAAAGGCTTATCAAAATGCTCCATAACAGTACTTGCATAACAAACTGATGGATATATTATAATATTCTTCACGTATTCAGCACAATAATCGTTGATATAAGTGAATAGCCTCTGATCTCTTTTCGATAGTTTGTCGATGTTCACTTCACTAAAAACTCCCGGCAACAGCATAATCAGGCCTAATTTTGAAATCTCACGCCCAACACAGCGCAACAACTGCAGAGCAGTTTTCAAATCTTCTATAACCATTTTTGACGCGTCTTCGGTGTAGAATATTCGATCTGGAGAAATTCGTATATTACGTAACC